GGACCAGGAGAGGTCGTTCGATCAATAAGGTCAAGAATCAGTGTTATGGTCGATCTTAGAAACAGGCCTGTTATGTCTCCTGAAGAAATCGAATCAGACTGGCTGCAAAGGAAAAGCTGGGCTCTAGGAGCACTCCGCTTGTGTGGGACCACCGCTTACTTGTTGATTGGTTTCCTACTTTGGTACGTTTAGGCGGCGTCAACGAATATTAGAAAGGCGTCACGGCGTTGATGGCAAGCTGGCCTGCCAGGCGCCCATCATCAGTGCCGTCACTCAATACAGGCGTTTGAAAGGATCCCCAGGCCCACTGATCTCCGGGAGGGTTCGCTTATTACAAGCATGTAATTGTCGCGGTATCCAATCGCTAAAGATGTGCCCAGGCAGGCAATGTTCGCAAAATCATCTGACGAAGCGAGAGCGTCAACTCTTTTCGTTTATTGGTGCAGAGTTGGGTCGAAAGCTGGATATCAACGAGAATTATGCTGGTCCATTTGCCATAAGGGACCAAGATCCTACGCCCAGCACGACCGGACGCACCGATTTTACCTGCTCAGATCGATCCTGTCCAATCCATAAACCCAGGCCCGGCCGAGTCTCGGATGAGAAAAAGAAGCGCTTATAATCTGATGAGCAAAAGAAGCACGCCGCGGGGCCCGCGGCCAGTTCTACTAGACAAGCCCTGTTAGTATATCACCAGTATATCAAGCAAATGTGAACTTCTTATTACACGGACTCAGCTGTAAATTTCTGAACGAATGAGAAATATTCCGATTGACGCGGCCCCTCCGCGATCGGCAAATGCGGATTACGAATAAACCGTTTACATTACGATCCATCAAAATGCACGGCAAGAAAACCGCGAGTGCAAGAGCACGAGCAAGGACAAATAAAACGTTTTAAGCGACGATGTTGCTATCTAATATATCAGTGATGCATCCCGGTCATGCATCCGGGGCGCTCAGATAGGTGCCTATAGTATACGGAACGATAAATGCCGTCAATGCAAGATATGACGTGTTACTTTACCTCGTTAATTATCTGGAATAGCTATTTACACTGTGATTACGTTTCACGAAGCTACTAGGCTGCCGACCGTTAAGTTGAGGACAAATCGACGTTTTCTGTTGCTTCACCGACTCCTGGCAACTCCGTTATGTATGATCCTAGGAAATGTAAAAGAGTCAATAATAATCCAGATATCCTCTAGGAACAAATTTTGAAAACGTGCATGATGAGGCATTGCTGCGCAGACTGGGTGCCGCGCCTCTCCGCCGCACCAGCCGCCCCCGCAACCCTATGTGCGCTATAAGCCGGGCCGGAGCCGCTTAGGATGCTGACAGGTTAATTCTTTCATTCCCGCGAGCGCGGAGGGATTCCATGACGAAGATGATTCTGTGGCATAGACTTATTTGACGTGAACTACGCCTCCTTTCGACGGTAACCTGCAAGTTTGTCTCTGGGGAATACTCTGCACTAGCCTGAATTCTATACTGGATAACTTTTATGGGGGCGGCTTCATGTGCCCGGCGGTCAACGAGCGACTAATGGCAAAGACGCCACTGTCCATCATCACGGCCACCACGTACTAGCACGCTGACTCAGCATTTTAATAAAGTCCACCATCTCTACACGGATTCGTTCAATAGCCTCAAAACCTGAGCCGTCGTGGAGAATATGATCAGATCCGCTGGCAACGAGCAAGAAAGGAACAAGGACAAGGAGCAAGCACCGGCGCTGCACGAAGCCGAGCTCATTGTATTCGAGCTTCATCAGAGTAGTCAGTGCCCTTGCAACAAATCTGGCTGTAACAAGAAGGTGCAGATTGCTTGACATAGGAGAATTCAATGCTCTCAGATCAAACTTCTGGCCGTTGCCGACCAGAATGCTTCGTTATCGGCTAGCTCTCAAATGCGTAGGGATTCAGAGACCCCCGGGCCACCACTTTCACACAGATGTTAAAATGGACCCTATCAACGCATATCAATTCCTATAGCACTCTCAACTTAGTTTTAAAGGAATCATCGAACGTACTTTTCGTGTAGTCAGCCCTTAGCAAGACAAAGGTTCCAGGCAGAGAAAGACATCTCGCCTCGGGCACTTCAGAAAACACACCACCGTGGCAGCATCATGCAGCCAGACTGTGGTCCTCATCGCCTTACATCTGCCACACATTGCCTCTTTCGAGTCGGGCTGCCTCAACAGATGTGCAGATAAGAGAATGGTATCTGCAATCCGAGGCCGTTCGATCGTGACGAGCGTTTGTTAGAGAAGGAAACAGAGCTTGCAAAAGGGAACCGAGAATTACACACTGGTTCATGCGATATACTAGTTGAGTATTAAAGTTGAAGGAGAAAGCCGTCGCGCGTTCTTGGAAGACGGGCTAAGGACTAAAGCACAAACCATTATGATGGAGACTGAAGAACTCTCTTCAGGGTGGGAAAGGACTCTGATTAAATCCGGCCCATCGGAGCCAATCGCAGAGCAGCCTTTTCACACGCGCTCTCAAAAACCGCCAGCACAACAAAACAACCATCACAAAGAGCTCGGAATGGAGTAGTTGTTAGCATTATTGTGCGACACTGCACATGGTTCTCAGGGGCGCTCCTAGTAAGCTGTGACAACACCAGATGCCAGCCCCACCTCAATCATCACCGCGTGTCGGATTGCAAGGTGCCACTCAAGCACCTCTTATGAACTATGCGACTTCCACGAACAACGTCTTTGCACGACTCACTGAGACACGACGAAAACCGTGTAGCTGCCATTCAAGTTATTTGCCTTTCTTTTTGAGGTGACGGCTACGCTTGGGGGATTATAATGGGCAGATCAGATCAACGAAAAACATAAAAGCTGCCCAAAGGCACTGTTCACTCGTCCATGAACCAAGCCGATGGCGGCTTCCACAGAAAGTAAACCCCGCGCTGACCAGCAGGTCATTCGTGGCCAAAGGGTCTCTTCAAAGCCTTCCTCAAAGTCGTTGTCTCTTCACACGATCGGACCAAAACCACGTTTACAGCAGAATGAGGCTCTCTTTCGCAGCACTGAGTGACGCAAGTCAAGGGGGGCCGAGGTGATCTCCATGACTTTTCATAAGGCTCTTGTTTTTAGCTGGAATGCTGTTGAGGTGGGCACGCGGCTCTGATGGGGATTCTACTGACGATGCCTGTTCACAGTGAATGCCAAAGCAGAATAGGTGCCTTGCATGATAGACCCACACTGCACAGCCTCCCCCAAGTCTTCAGCGCCCTCAGAATCAAGATCTTAAAAGACTGAGAGCCCATCATGAAAGACGGAACTCAATCGGATACAAAGTACTACTTAACATCCCGAGAAGCTTACCAAGTCAGAACTTGGGGGGCTCTTCCGAGGTCAAACATAAGAACGATCCATCATTTTACTGAATTTCGAGGAAGCCTAGCTGACAGACTCCGAGGCAGGAAATCGGGAAAAGGCAAGCGACCCTGCAACACTAATCGTGGCCAGCTCTAACAGAAACATGCTCCTAGCTAAAATTTTCAACAGAATCTGGATCGAAAGCAGGGAATGCCCACCTAGACTCTCCAGGAGGATTATTCTAGATTGAAAGCAAGAAATGCCCACCAGAACTGAGGACGACTTCCGACATGCACAAGAATGAAGGAAGAAGTTGAGCAGACTTCTCCTTAGTAAGATTGGATTAGGACTATATCAGATTGCTATTCAAAGCCTCAAGCGAACAACTCAAGGGACATGCGATTATTCAACCAGACGAGGACGAGAAGAGTATAAGCACAGACGTTGGTACCAATCTGACTGTCGCGGCTGCCGTGCATTCTGGATGCTTCAATGGGCCTATAGTACTCAGGCATTCTGGCAGCCACGTACAGCCTTGGAGCGGTAAGCTGATATAAAACTGGACCCTCGATAAGCGTCCAAATACTAATTGGTGTCGGGAAGGAACTGGACCTCTAACTTAGGATTCTGTCAAGTTTCCGAAGCGGCACATGATCGATGCTAGGTAGGATGCCCTCACGCACGTCTGATCGCAGACCAGCTTGGCCGCAAATAATGCGACCAGATCCAGTGAGACCATGAGCTTTTCCAGCAATCGCAAGTTGTGTGACGGATGATAGCTAGGATCTTTCGTTTGTCTGACCGTCGATCCGATTAGATCATGCACGTCCTGTGTTTTTTCTTAACGGCATAGCTGTCCATAACCATCCGTTCATGGTAAATTGGCCACTTGTAATGCACGCCCACTCCACGACCGGCACTGAAGCAGGGAATGCTCAACGAAGATGGAGGGTGGTGGAAGAGCGACCAGACGTCTCAAGAAGTACTCAAAATGCAGTGCGGCAAACGTACGGCTGACAGAAAACAACATGCTGGCCCCTTCCGGATTCAAACTCTGACGTGTGCCGTCTAAAAATGCAGTGCTCATGCTATGCTTCTAGCTTGGCAAGAGAACAGTGCAAACGACCGTCATCCTTGAACTGAAAAGACCATTGAGACAAGAACTTCCAGAACATGTAATCTGTATTGCTAAGTTTGCGCGACCGAGAGCACCGTCGCTCCTTTTTTACCTCTACGACGTTAGGAAATCCTGAGCTAGTTGAGGAAGAGGCCTAGTACAAGTGAGCGGACGAACCGTAGAGAAAGAAGTAAGATCGGAGACACAAAGACTAATCTGTCGTGCGCTCAGAGGACACTCTAGAGGTTTACATCGGTTGAATACAGCTACACGTACCCAATAACAATGGAAGTCTCGAGTGGGAGTGGCTTCGGCGTGCGAAGATCACTGGTGTTTTGGCGCCAAGGACTGTAAGCCAAGTCTCATTGCCAGCAGTCGGAAGTGACTCAACAGTGGTTGACTGCCAAATTAGACAAGATACGTAGGTAGGAAGATGAGCCGGTTTTGCATTCAAGCAGCAACAGACACAAGCAATGAAACTCGAAAGGAAAATGAAATGAAACGGAAACAATCAGAACAGGGATCCGGAACACTGAGCCGTTTCTAGAAACCTACGTCACTGTTTCGCTGGCAGGCGGACCAACAATGTCAAAGGATTCCACAGCCGTTGAAACAAAAAAGGTGGTTTCAGGCTCACACAAAGCGGTTTATCGTAACTGCAATCACCAGCGGATTTTACATAGCGTTTTCAAGTGTTTCTCTGGCCTCAACTACAAAATCTAATGCCACACTCTTTGACCAACTGTAACGTCAGCTCAGACTCACACTCAGCTTGATCTCAGTTTCTTCGCGTCAGCACCTCCGTTCACAAACTCCAGTAACCGCTTCCCGAGCCCTCCTTCCAGCAGCTCATCTTCCAATTTCGACGCGTGGTTCTCTTCCCCCGGTCTCCTTTCCGCCCCTATCTCGTTCCCCCGCCCCGAAAAAACCACGGGGGATCCCTCTCCGGGCGTTCTTTCCATCCCTGATTCTCCGCCTCCGCCTGCTAACCCGCCCCGGTTATCTCCCCCGGTCATCTCCTCAGTATCTGTATCCGCCCCAGTATCATCCCGGTTGTCTTCTTCACCAGGTTGGTTGTCGCTCGCATTCCCCTCCGCTTCTTGTCGGAAAGAGTTCGCTTGGTCGGCGCCGCGCATGGAAGTGCTCGGGGGAGTGTCCTGAGCGCCGTAGTCTTCGCGGGAAGAGGTCCCCGCGTCAATTATAGGCTCCACGTTCACTGGCGGCACGGCCTGTAGCGACAGCAAAAAGAGCAAGGAGCTGGTTAGTAAGTTCTTGGTTAAAATCCTTCTGTAGGGCTTGGGTTCTCTAAGGGCGGATTCGGGGACCTCGTATGGGTAGTCTGAGCTGTTACATTTTTCTGGGGAGGTGCTCGGGGGAGTGTCCCGGGCGCCGTGATCCTTGCGACAAGATGTCCCGGTGTCGAGCGCCGGCTCCACGTTTGCTGGCGGCACGGCCTGTATCGGAAACAAAACATTTCAAGTATGTGGTTAGTTAAGCTTTGGTCAAAATCCTGTTGTAAAGTTTAGTGTTCCGTAAGGGCTGATTCGGGGAACTCGTATGGGTAGTCTGAGCTGTTTTATTGGTCTGCGGAAGTGCTCGGGGGAGTGTCCCGGGCGCCGAAGTCGTTGCGGACAAATGTCCCCGCGTCAAGTGGAGGCTTCACGTTTACTGGTGGCACGGCTGGTGGCAAACAGAAAGGTTGAGTGGATGGTTTAGGCTGCTTGAATATTACCATTCGCAGAGTTCGGGGACTATCCAGAGCTGATTCGGGGTTTTTGTAGTAGATTTGAGCTTGGTCGAGCTTCATCGCGGCAGTGGTCGGGGGAGTGTCCTGGGCACTGTAGTCTTCCCTCAAGACGACGGCGTGGCGTCCAGCGCAGGCCCCCAATCTACTGGTGGGACGGCTTGTTGTAAACAAAACGTAAACTGCAATCGACGGTTACGAACTGCTTGTTAATAGTCGTCTGCAAAGTTTAGGGCTTGATGAGGGTCGATTCGGGGATCTGGGGTGGTTGCTTTTGTATAATTACGCAGTGCTCGGAGGCATCTTCCGGGCGACACAGGACTCTTGAGACATGTTTGGGTTGTCAAGCAGAACTTCTAACTCAAGGCCTGAGGAGCAATGAGAATCTTCAGGTCAGCTTGTTTCAAAGAAGTCATACGTTTCCGACTCGTGGGTGGCCAGCTTGAAACCCATGGGACAGGATAACGCCCACCGTCTCATCCACATCATAATTCAAGGCTAGATGAAACCACTGCTTTTGATCAAGCACTGCGGGGTCTGAGAAACGGAGACGAATTTAGGAGAGTTCTGGTCATCGAGGTCGGATATCTGAAGCCAACAGATATGCAGTGCTCACCCCTCGCCGATATGTGGTCCCGTCAATATGCGTAACGTAGCCCGCTTCTCGAAGCAGCGCACGGATGTACTCAATGTCAGGAGCAGTGGAGGGGAGGCCGTATCCGCCATAATTTCGCAGGCCGGAGATGATGTTCGCCATGATCTGCACAACCCAAACGTCAGAGATGACGTCAGATGGGGGAGATAAGCGTGGAATACCGAGGGCTATGATCAATAAATCAACCCTTTCAGTCACAAAAAGAGGGTGTCTTGGAGCAGTGCAGGGAGAGGTACAATGACCAGCGATGGGATGTGACGGGCCCCGCTGACGACTTGTGAACAGAATACTAGGCAGCAGCCTGGCGCGGCGTCAAAGTTGAGGTTTGAGGGGAGGAACGTGGCATTTGGCCGCGTGGTGGACGCCATCAACCTCGAAAGCCCAGACTTGAACGCCTAAAGTTTTAGGCCTAAAGAAGAGACATGACGTGGAACTACATGAGATCTTGCATTCGTAGATTGGAAGTGACAAAGTCTTTGTACACGTCGTCGTTGACATTCCTGACCACAACCTGAATAAGGTTGTTTCAGCGTGCTATTATCGCCGCTCTCCTCACACTAGAGGTACGCAGCTAAGTAGCTCTTAGTCTGAATGAGCAGGGCGTTCCACGAGTCGTCCGAAGGAATGTTAGAACTTTCTAAAGAGTCCTGATAGAGATCACTTACTGCTCTCCGCACCCGCTCTCGATCCCGCCGCTTCTCCGCATCCTTCGCCTTCGGAACCTCGCCAATCATGTTGGGCGGCCGCCTCGTGGGCGTGGACGCAGGGTTTGTGCCTGCACGAAGCCAAATGAATTTTACTTAGACAATGACTTTGGTTTCTAGTCAAACAGTGGCTTCGGTCACATAAGAGTGTTATTTTGACGTTGCAAGGCATATCTGTAAGGAAAGGAGAAGAAATTCTGCGTCCCTCGTCTGAATGGGCTCTTGGGGACTTTAGGCACCGACAGCTGTGCATGAGGCTAATTCTCACATCACACTTTCAGGCAATATGTGGCTCTGCGACCCAACTCGTTACGGACCGAGGCTTTACGCTAGAGAGAAGTTTTGGGCTAATTGACGTACACAAGGGAAGTGCGAAGATACAAGGCAAGGCCCCACACAGCCGCACAAGATGCCGAAGAAAGACTGTGCGCTGGAAACTTAGGCGCGCGCAAAGTGGAGGACGAGAAGCAGGTACGTACTGGTCATTTATGGTTGAACAGGTCTTCCTATAACGTCTCGGCAGGGGGCCCGTGCTAAAGTAGAGCAATCAATGCTTAACGCGTGACAAGACAGTGTGCTGTCTTATATATTTGGCCCAGGCCAGCGGCTCTTCCTTTTGACAACTAGGTTGGGTTGGAAAGCCCATTCTTTGTCACCAGGGAGCATCAAACGACCAAAATCTTCATTAGCAGGTCAGTCAATCGACCTGCCAGAATGTTGGCAGTGCATCTTTACCCCGTGTTCACAAAATTCAAGCACCCAAGTGCACAATTGCGTTTGCTTGTGCTCGAATTTGAAAGGTATAAAAGAAACATCTCGCAAACAATTTGCAGGATTGACGCAGTCTCTTCTTATGGAGACTAAACTGGTTTTAAATCCCGTTTCGATGCTTCAAGCGGATGGTAGTCGCTCAGCACTTGGCTTCATATAGCCACACCCCGCTCCCTCTACTTTCTCTGACAAAGCAGCAAACGAATTACATTAAAGAGCCACTCCAAACCTCTCACAAAGGCCGACAGAACGTTTGTGAAGGTTCTCCAGTCATTCGGGAAACTACGTTGCAGCCCACTTTCCCCGGCTCCCTCAAATCGGCCCAAGCGGATCCTTTCGTGGAGGCATTGCGAATGGAGGCCTAGGGCAGAAAGCCGACGGCAAGAATTCTGAATAACGACAAAAGGGGTCGACTAGGGGCAGGAAATATCCTACTTTCCTTGTGGATAGAACCACTCTAGCATCAGACCACCTTAGCATCGCCACTCTCTTGGCAGATCATCTCTTTACGCGGACACGCCACTAGCGATGCCATCACAATTTTCTGACTCGTCAAACAGTCCAACCGACCGTGAGGATTTCAGGGAGTCACATCAGATTGGTTTAGAATCTAGTGTAAGTACACTTGGTCTTCACTCGCAGCAACGACAGCGGTCACCGGCAAAAGCGACCCAGTGCAAATTACGCTTGTGAAAGTCTGGCATCAGCCGGATTACGTGCGTCGCTTTCAAGGCAAGGACATTTAGCGCACATGGTCATTGGCACTTCTTGAGGCCTTTGATAAACTACAGTAAGCGGCGTCGCTAGAGTAAGGCATAATGTTCACCAACACGTGCCGCCTCTTCCCCAAGGAGACGCCCGGTTTCGGGAATCAAAGACTGGACACTCAAGGTGATTACCAAGCTGCGAACGCAATAGCGACTTGGTGTCTCTGCAAATGTCACCAAAGTGGAATATGTTATATGAACGAGAAAGTAGTGGCCACAGCAAACAGGAGCATCTCGCAGAAGAAGGTCAATAGACAACTGTCCCCGTTGGCAGGGCAATCGTTAAGGCTATCTGCTGTACATGAAAAGGAGTAACAGTCGGCTCTGAATCTTTCGTCCACGTTCAGACTAAGTGACCACAATTTCACATCCAGCCAGACTCGTCAAGAGAAAGCACGCAGCATCAGAGCCACCTCTCCGTTCTGGCTGCATATGCTCACACCAGACGGATATCATCAAAGCCGCGCGCTTTTACTGTCAGCAGATGTGGTCTTCACCGAGCTGTACAGAGAGCACAAGCTGAGCCGACTTGAACCCGTGTCCCTCTTTTTAGCTAAAGCCGAAATCTGCACAGGTTGCAAGGACAGCGATGTCATAACAGTCCCACAAGCAAACCCGTCGACCGGGTCACGTACTCGCAGCAAGAATCTAGGATCCACCGGCTCCAAGATAAGCTATGCTTCACCAGATAGCACAAAAGCGAGCAATTCCGAAGGAGCATTCCCTTCGCAAACTTGATGTCTACTTTCACCCCAATTTCATGGCTTGTCGTCTTTCAATGAAGCGTCAGAGGGGCAAAGGATCCAGACAGTGGGCAGATCAATTTGCTCAAATGACGGCTTGCTTGTCACTGCCCCATACTTGTAACCCATGAATTAGTCAGCATTAGCGCACTCGCTGCATCTTCAAAGCTCTCGCTTTGGAAGCGAGGCAAGTTGTGAGCGCATTCGACCGTCGCCCCTGCCTCAAACCGATTCTCATAGAGCTTAGTGGCCGTTGTAACGCTTAACATGACATGCTGCCCCTTTTACAAAGGGGACGCTCCTTCCCAGCCTTCAGCTTACGGCTTTACGAAGCCTTTTGCTGCATACACTGGGCATGTAGCAGCTGGAGCTTTAGAGTCTCAGTCCAGACAAGTGACGCCGACAAGAATAAAATATGTGATAAGAAAGTGATCGCCACAGACAGGGAACGAATCGACGAAACAGATGAGTGGAAGAACGTCTTGATCGGAGAGGCGAACACCCCAGGCTGACCGGTTTGCATTACGAAGAGCAAAAGTCAAACTTTTCTTATACAGCCAGACAAAATTATACCCACTTCTTCAAGTGCTGTCGTGATCGTCGAGAGAAAGCACACCCAGCGTCAGACCAATCCTCGTCTCGCTGCATATGTCCCAAGCAGAAGAGTGTCATCGAAGCCCCAATCTCTCAGTAAAAAGTATCCTTGGATTGAGCAGGTTTTGACAAGGTAAAAGCTAGGACCGACTCCATCCGTTACCTCTTGCTCAGCTAATCCCGTTTACGTTTGAACCATGCACGAACAGCGCTGCCAATGCAAAGTCGTATGCGAAGCCGTCGTTCGCTTCAGAGTCATTGCGGACTTCTGTGATCAAACAGCCTCAGCATAACTTTGTACGAGCGTCAGTGTCGTAATTTCGCATCCAACTTCGTAGATCGTCGCAGCTTTATACGGGCGTCAGAAAGCGGACGGCAATGATAATGGGCGACATGATGTGCCCAAATGACGGCAGCTTATCACAGCCCCAAGACAACGGCTGAACAATCGGACCGAATTCGTCCGGCCATCCGAGTCGTTTGTGCAGTCCAGGAAAGAGATTCAGACAGTAAGTTGAGGGGCTCCACAAACTCGAGGCAGGCGCTCATGCAGAACGGAATGAGACCACGTCAAAGGGTTTGCGAATACAGACTGTCAATTGATGAGGTAATCAACACGTATTCTTTGAATATGAGAAAAAGTGAACAAGTTCGCGCCAGCGGGTCAGGACAGGAGCGACTCAAGAAATTGTGGAAGCTTCAGCAAGACACCGACGGGGATGCTGCTTGGAAAGGAAAACACAGTGATTAGGAGATATCCAGTATCGACTTATCCCAAAAGGCGCCAAAGTCGAACTATCAGAAGAGCGGTCCTTCATCGTGTCACCAGTGCTGGCACGACCTCAAGGTCTCAAATTGATTCAAACCGAGAAGTCAAGGAGCAGAGCAGAGGACCAACATTGGCCCAGATGACGAAAGAAAAGCCAGAACACATGGTGGCTTCTGAAAGCGGAGCTTTGGCATTGCAGAGGCTGCCAAACGCTTACAATCACTGCCACCCCTCTTGACTGGAGCCTTTTGGTGGCTTTGTCCGATGTTTCAAGCGTTTGTCCATCCGCTACTCTCGACCTCCCTCTCCAACTTTGCTTCCAAAGCATCTATTCGCAAACCTGCAACTTTCAATAGAACGAAACCAAGGGAACTTTTGGTGATTCGCAAAAAGGAAAGCGAAAAGCTCACCAGAGGATGGCGCGTATTGTTGCGTCTGGTGGGAGAAATTGAGCTGGAGCACTTGGCCCGGTGCCGGAACAGGGCCCCCAGTTGGAGAGAAGCTGACTGCAGAAGCGAAGGGGGAGGGATTGGGACGTTCCAAAAGGCACTTACTTAGCAAAACTCATCCATGCGTCAAAAAGTAGAGGATCAGGCCGGTCAGGCAGGTCCTCTTCCAATTCAAAAAGAAGCGAAGGCACGTTCGAAGTAGAGATGGGAACGTGGAGCTGTGAGTTAAGATGACTAATGAAGGGCAGAGAAGTCAGAGGGTCGAGTATGGCGTGAAGCGAAATTGACGCAATGAACGTGGCGTAAAAAAACGAGGATATTTAGAAAGTATTCCTGCCTTCGCCCCACTCTCAGCTGCACTTGCTTCTGCGATTGAAGAGGATACCCTTGCTCAGCCGCTTTGTCAAACGCAGACTCGGACCGCGCAAAAAAAGTTCTTTTCTGAACGGCAGGGCAGAAGAAGCGATATCGAAAAGAGGCGGTCCCCATTTATTTGAGGACTGCAAAAGCTACTTGAATGTGCCGGGCACTCCTTGAGATGATCAAATACGAAAAAGGGGGTATCTTATTATCCAGAAGCAAAATGCTTGGCATGTTTGAGGTCACTTCCGACGGGGAACCGTTAAGGGGAGCCGTGAAAGAACTTCCCCATGTTTCTATCTGGCAGTATTCCTAAAAATTCCAATAGTGATGAAACCAGGAATAAGTGAGGCATTTGAAAGGAAAGTGGAGAGGAGAACGCTCACGGTTCGGAAAGGAGCCCGCCACCGTATACAGGTTCGGATGCTGCGGGTGCATCATCATGGGGGGTTGCGGCATGCCCTGCGCTCCAGCCACATGCGAAGCCCCCGGAGGTTGCGCCGGCAGAATCGGCCGCTGATGCCCCTTCTGGTGGCTGTTCACACTATCGGTCTGCTGTGCGACGGACCCGTTATTAGCTGACCGGGGTTCGGTTTTGGGGCTATTTACACCAAGTTGTTGTTGTAGAGCGGCTGGCCTTGGCTCCTCGCCAGCCGAGGGCCTGTTCACACCAGTCGAATCTCTGGGACTGTTCAAACCGCTCGGGGTTTGGTTCTCGAAGGCTTTGACAGCGTAGGGACTGGTGGGATGGTGAATGCCCGCCATCAAGAGCCTTGGCAAAACGGGACTGTTTACACTGGACTGAAGGGGCCCGTTCACACTGCTCAGCAGTGGACCGTTCAGGCCGCCTGGAAGGAACCCGTTTAACCCACCCGGAAGGAGGCCGTTCACACTTTCCCCTTGCTGCTCAGCAATGAGCCGGCTATTCATGCTGGTGGGGGGTAAAAGTTTCCAGTCAACGGGGCGGTTGCTTTTTCGATACCTCGGGATGTGAATAGGCGCAGGCTGACTCCCAGATTGACCTGATCGGTGCTTGCCTTCAACAACCGGTATCTCAAAAGGAACCGCGCTCGGAAGGTTTGACACATCCAGCTGGACTGCGCCCTCGCTCTTGACTTCTATATCCCCAGCAGTGTCAATAGTTTTTGTGGGGGGGTTGCCAATTGAGTTGACGAAACCCGGGGGGGTGGTATTGGCATGCCGATAGGTGGAGTTAGGAAGCTGAGAAGCTACGGGGGTTGTCTTTGGTGGCGGCTGTGTCTCGTGTTTTATGCGACTGGATGCCGCCGGTTGTTCGTCCGGCTCTGCTTTTGGATCGGTCGCGCCGTCTGTCGCCATGACCCTAACCCGTGATGAACCCCTCCCCCGACCCCGCTCTCTCGACGCCCAAAGCGCCCAACGCGCCTGCGACAGGAAGGCAAAGTGAGCAATTTGCAGACTCTACTTCAGAAACGGATGAAAGTCCAGGGCTGGTTTTGTTACTACATATTAACTGTAAAATGGGCTCTGAGCTCACGGTATCCTTGCGCATTTGGACACCGGGACCTGGTTGCGCCTGCAATATATCCTCTCTTCACACGGAATGGGCTAGTATGCAATTTGGCTCTTCTGGCCAATGGTTTGCCAGGAAAAAGCCCTTTCTTCGGAATCTCCTTCAGGGCTCCGATGCAATGCATTTGAAGATTGCATGCGAAGAACCTTGAGCGCCTAGGGCACGCCTCGAACAGTCACAGATGCATGAATACTAAGCCGACGTACATTCTGCAAAACAGGTCAGGGCAGGACAAGTGTCCGGTGTAAACTTGTGGTTTTCAGCAAAAGCGACACCAACACTTGAAAATGGATGCAATGAGTTGTTGAGTCGCAGCGTCTGCAGGAATGGTGGTCATGACTAGCCACCCAAAGGTGGAATGTTTTTTCTTATGGAAGCTCGAGCAGGCATGTCTCCATTTTCGAAAACTGTTGCACCAAATGAGTCAAGGTGCTAGAAGATTTACAAGCTTTTACATCAGAACATTCTTGGACCAATGAACGCTTGTATCCAATGTGTGACATGTGAAAAGAATGAACCGAAAAGACAATTCAACAACCATCTTCCAATGTCAGTGTCTCCAGGCTGGAAAATATCATTTAGGAGGTAGAATATGACCAAGAAAAGGCAGCGTGCTCTTTGACTGCGGTACTTATCCAATCATTCATCATAGAAGAAGCAGAAAAGTAAAGTAGACTCCCAAGTTTGACTTCCACTCCAAGGTACACTCAATGTAAGTCTGCAGGCATTCTGTCAGCAATTTGAGGAATACGACCACCCTGAGAAAAATGGGGGTCAACTCAGCCTGTCAAGAAAAATCTTTTGAAAAATTGCATGCGCAACTACGAAGATTCGTCGGTGACGAACCACAACTGACAGAGCTGGAGGAATCAATGTGTTGAGTAGTTTGTCCTGAACCATCAATGTTTCCAGCACCCTGACATTCCTCCTGCTTTCCCAAATAAAACCATTCAAACCCTGTCCCAACTAAGATTCTCACCTGTCCTGTCGACAAATCGCCCAATTTGGCACCTGACCCGAAGACTGCGCCCAATTGGTCGAGCGCGTTTGAAGCCACTGGTCCACGCAGAGTGCCCTCTTCAAAGCTGAGACACAATTTTCTTATCCCTACTCACTTGCTGACTTGTGCATTGCTACCAGCATTGCTTTAACAGGATAAGGAGCAACTGGCGTAGTTCGTTTTAAGGCCAGGGTGATGATTTCTGTCAGCAGGGACGCATTGGGATAATCGGTCGGAGCAATGGCTTGAAAGAGCTGCAAGAGGAGTGACCAGTCATGAATTGGAGCAGACACGGATGTCCGTATGCTCCCAGCTTGCCTTCCAGCCTTCCGGCGTGTGCTTTGCCTTTGAAATTGAAGAGGGATTGCTGCAAGACGTCGACACTTACAACAGGCTGCCACCGTAGCAGAGCTCTATGCAGCAGAAGGCGCCAAACCAAACTAGAAGCGGGCGAGTCTGGCAGCTAACCTTGATTTTGCATCAAGGACCGAGCTGTACTGATCGTCGATGAACAATTTCTCATCAGATCGAACGGATCGTAAGGGAATTTCGCAAAACTGGGCTATGAAAGCCGTCGATCAAGCTTTCAAAAGCATCGACGAAGTTACACTCAAGGTTTGGATTTGAAAAACCGTCATTGTTCATTTGATGACATCACCATGCTGGTTCTGGAATGCGCGCATAGGAAATTATTGCCACTGGCTGGCAGGCGGCATCGGTGCATGATTGCATCATGATCATGGCAATTTGCGAGCAGCAAATGCAGTGCAACTTCTAGGGAAGAGGGTGTGGTGCTGATTTGAGAAGGGAAGAAGTTTGTGTGTGCTCATGAAAGGCATTCTTGCCGATTCTTGCACGCATTTGATACCCATTTGATACAAGAAGTGCAGATTCGCTGAGTCGAAGGAGTTGTTCCTTTTTTGGTGGCCGCAGCATCCGATTGCACCACCACCCAAGCAGCTCTAGCTAATCTCAGTACTCACACTCTTTGTCAGTTCAACAAAGCACACGAGCTTGTGATCCAGTGGGTGTACTGTAAGCAATCGCACTCTGCCATCGGTAAGAACCTGATCTGAATGCAATGAACACATGATTCTATGTTGGAAAGTGGCGCCGGCGTTGTCCATCTTTGCTGCACGTATTTCTCACCAAAAGTGGTGGTGTGGAAACCAACTAAAAGCACTTAGCTTAGTTCCCGCTTGATCGAGTCTGCTGCATCTCACCACCAGCTTCTGCATAGCTCAGCAAAGTGTTCAGCCAGCTTTCTGTTAAATAAAGAGCCTCCTCACCTTATTGCATATGTCAGCTCTAAGTTCCTTTCCAGGTTGAGCTTTTATGACAGACTCTCTTTTCTGCTGACGTGGTGATAAGCGGGGAGAAGGCTTCCTTATGAGGTTCCAGACTCTTTGTGTGCTTTCAAATTGGGATTCTTTGCTTCATCAATCTCTTGTGTGTAAGCGTCACTGGAACCACTACTTTGATTGTCCTTCTCTTGGGAAGGGAACCTAGACCACTACTTCCAAAATTGTAAGCTGCAAAGGTTGAATTGCAGATAGTAATGCAGAGAGTGGATTGTCTCTACAGGTAAAACTGCTACACATAAACTATGGCGCTTCCTACTGTGGAGAAGGTGAAGCTGGGATCCCAGGGGTTTGAGGTTTCTAAGCAGGGCCTGGGTTGCATGGGTGAGTCTCACTTTATCCAGTTCCGCTTTGGTGCAAGAAGTTCAAGAGTCTGCTTTTCACCAGTATACTCTTCACCAACCTACGTGATATTCATTCCATCGAACTGCAGAAGATTGGGTCTGGTAAGAAGTGGCCAACGTTCCATATAGGAGCAGTCCTTTTGGTCATATGCTTCTTCGCAATTTCCAGCTTGATGTCAAACGGAAATGCTGGCAGGCTTTGATCATAGTGGTTAAGTTTGAGGACCGCACTCCTTCCCAAAATGAATTGAGAGCTGAGAGGTCTCTCAACAGTCATGTTGTCAGAAACTTTCCAAGAAAAAGAGGTCACCAGCTCGAAAGAGCACGAAAAGCCTTGGTTAACGCTTAGCTGAGGAACTTATAAAGCATTGTAGACTGTCTGTTTTCTTGAGGCCACCTGTGATCGGGACCAGTACTCTATGGATTGACGCTTTATCAACTAGGTTGCTTGTCAAGACTGCTTCTGTTGCCGGCAGGTCTTGCATCCTGATGCAAATCGAAGCTTCAAACTAGGTTGTTGACCATTGACAGCTTATGTTGATGAGAATTGCTCTATGGGGACGCCTCACCATACTTTGCATGGTGCATTCAACTGACCTTCGGTGTGAGTGCAGGTATGAGTGCCTTCTATGGTCCCCCTAAGGAGGAGAGTGAAGCGATCAAGGTCATCCACCGGGCAGTGGAGCTTGGTGCGACGTTCCTTGATACGTCGGATGTCTATGGACCACACACAAACGAGATCCTGCTCGGCAAAGCGCTCAAAGGGATCAGAAACAAGGTCAATGTCTTTCTTCCGCTCACCGCTTACCTGCATATTTCTCTCGAGTTTTGTCTAACACGTCGGGTTCAACGTACCAGGACTTGTCAGGATTTGCAACGCAGTTCCTGCTAATGGTTTGCGGATGTCGGAATTTCGCAGCAGGGACACCCTTATGTAGCGGTTGCAATGACAGGGGTGAGTCAATCTCAAATAACGACAACAGTCCCCTTATCCTTTCTTTCTTCGGTGCTGCTTCCAACTAGCCACCAAGTTCAACAACGTGCTTAAAGAGGGCGTCTACGTGACATCAGCACCGGTCACTTCAAGCAGAGCAATTTGCTCGGGGAAAACACCGCTGATACCAATTTCTGGCGACGGAGTAGCAGAAGCTCATGCTTCCATGTCGCTTTGATGACGTCAGGGGGGACCGGTGCCTCGACGCCCTCTTTAAGAAGGAAAGCCTCCAAAATGACAGCCGACTGGCAAGTGAGGGAGCTTGGAGGAGTATATACAGCCCCTGCGCGAATCTGCTTGATTCGGTAACCACGTTGTTTCGCCTTTCATCATCAATTGTCGACCAGATTTGGCGAACTGCTTGGGCCAAGTGAACGGCTTGGGTGGCGGCTTTGGTGGAATGGTGGCCGCCTCACGTGCGGAACGGCTGAAAATTTGTTTGAGAATTCTGCGTCTGTTTGTCGCAGAAGCGCTTGACTCGGTACTCTTCTTTGCGGTGGATCAGGTGCAACTGGCAACCAAGTTTGCCAATTCCATCGAGAACGGGCAGTGGCGGATCAACGGCCGTCCGGAGTACGTCAAGGAGGCGTGCAAGGCCTCCCTCGAGCGACTGGACGTGGATTGCATCGACCTGTACTACCAGCACAGAGTGGATCCCAACGTTCCGATTGAGGACACGGTGAGATTGCCGTAGCTTACTCTCGAATCGCTTGCCTGCAGTGGTGAAATATCATGTAGGTTCAGTATTGGATTGTAGTACAGATTAAAAGATCGAAGCAAGATGAGAGAAGATTGAAAGCAAGATTGAACAAGATTGAAAGCAAGGATTGTCGACAGTCCTTCTGTCGACAAGAGGTGCCGCTGTGTCATCTCCGGGTCTCGCAAGTTACGTCAGCATGCTCCAAGTCCGGATCCTAACATGGGGTACAGTCAGTACGCCAGATAAGGACTCGGTCAAATGTTCGTAGATGTTATTCACGGCCTTCTCTTTCCTCTGGTCGCTTAGCTGAACTTCATCCGGTGGCGTGTGCCGAATTAGTAAGTATACGCTGTTGTGCCGTCGGTCTGCTGCCTCATGCAGAGGGGGGCCTAACCTTGGAACTTGAACCCAGCGTGCTTGGTTCTTTCGATTCCAAGAAATTGGCCCGGTGTGACTTGTTAAAGGACAGAATCTGGCAGTCTCTGAAGGACATAGATTGCAGGTTTTAGGTCGGTCCATGCTCACGTTGTCGCAATCCTAACTCCTACAGGTTCCTAAACTAGAGTTCAGGCGGGCAATCGACATTCGTCTCGAAAACAAAAGAAAGTATTCCTTTCCACTTTGGTTTGAGTTTAGGTCCCAGCTTTGAGATTCCGGAGAGCCAGACCTGTTTTCTTAGCTTCAAAAGAGAATGGGAAGTTGCTGGGATTCGATGCATCGCACATACTGAAATAGTCTGCGCCTAGATTCTGTTTCAATCCAACCCCTCAAAACTGGTTTTGTTACCATACCAAACAGGTCCGGGCGATGGCCGAGCTGGTGAAGGAGGGAAAGGTCAAGTATTTGGGACTGTCCGAAGCGACAGCGGACGAGATTCGGCGCGCGCATGGCGTGCACCCAATCACCGCCGTCCAGTTGGAGTGGAGCCTCTGGTCCAGGGACGCCGAGGAGGAGCTTATACCCACCTGCAGGTCAGCCTTGTTTCGTGTGGCGCGTGTGAACTCCCACTCACTCAGATTGTTAATTAGGACACAATCAGGGCGTCAGGTGCAAGAAGACCCGATGAAAGATTCAGGAAGCTCGAAGAGAAAGCTTCAACCGGCTTTGGGTGAGTGTCTATCTGGTTGTGCAACGACTCAGGTCCACGATTCTAGATTGAGTCGAAGTTTCTCCTGCAGGAAAGATCAAGCGGCTTGTTATGGTCGGGCAGGCTAAGACCCTTTGACTGGTGTATACGTAAAAAGGTGTCAATCCGCAGCTTTTCTCGAGACACGTCCTGGAATACGCTTTCTTCTAGAAGCTTGGAAGAAGCTCTGCGTTTGTCAATCAACTGGAAGCCGGCTTTCTGCCATCAGATGCAAAAATGTGTCGTTTGTATGCAGAGAGCTATTTTTCGGCATCGTTCCCTACTTCCTCCTCGGCCGTGGGTTCTTTGGTCGACATCCGTTATTTCCCTGTCCAGAATTTTGTCTCTACATTATCAGCACCTCAGAAGCTGTAAGGTGTCGTTCGTTTGTAAGAAGCCGACGACATGTTTCCTTGCCGTACAGAGAGCTGGGGATCGGCATCGTTCCGTACTCCCCCCTCGGCCGCGGCTTCTTCACCGGTAGGACCGACTTCGAAGCCCCCGGGGACTTTCGGTCGGCGCACCCCCGCTTCCAGGGGGAAAACAAGGAGGCGAACATGAAGCTGTACCGGACGCTTAAGGAGATTGCGGACAGGAAGGGCGTTTCTCCCGGACAGCTGGCGCTGGCGTGGGTGCAGAACCAGGGGGACGACGTGGCACCCATTCCGGGCACTACGGTAAGCCATTTTCTCGTTTTCTTTTCAGTTTCCTCCGGAATCTTTGTCGATGGTGTCGATGGTGATTTCACTTAGCGGAAAGGGACAGGTTCCGGCCAGTCCACTCGCTTGCTTGGATGCAGAATCAGGGGGGTGACGTGGCACCCAATCCGGGGACCACGGCCAGTCATTTTCTCGTTTTCTTCTTATCCGTTTACGGCCGGCTGTGTGACTGTATAGTTTGTTCTGCGGAAAGAGACAGGTTTTCCGCGTGGCCCACTCGCTCGCATGTATTTAGAATGATCAGGCGGATGACGTGCCACTCAATACGGTTATTACGGTCAGTTGGTTTCCTATCTCCCCGGTCCTTGTCTCAGCACAAGCTTCATGAACGGTTCAGAGGGTGGGTCGCAGTGACAGATTTCTCTCGCGGCCCGCTCGCTCGTGATGATGCAGAAACAGCAGTTTGACGTGGCTTCCAGTCCGCAGACTTCGATCAGTATTCCTCTTTTGTTTCTCCTCGGAAGACATTTCGTGCGTTCAAGCACTATGAAAAGGGGGGGCTGCTTTCCTGTGCATCCTGGTGCCTTAGCCGAGGCGCAGGACCAGGGCGATGACGTGGCACCCGGTACTATGGGCTGTGCTTCATCTTTACTTGTTCTCGTCTCTTTTCAATAACTTTGGACTTTGATTGGACTTTGAGACTTGGAGCTCGCAGCAGAAGATAATGCCAGATTGTTCGAGACAATAAAGGAGCCTTGCTTGGGTCAGGGGTCAGTGCTAAATCAGGGGCGGCCTTTGAGCCCCGACCGGAAAACCATGCTCAGTTTGCTGCTGTCGGATTTGAGATGCGATTCTGGTAAGAGGAAAGGCCACTCAACAGGTATGTCGTTGCACAGCCGACGTTGCTTCTATTAGAAGAAGATGACGTGGCACTGACACCAGGCGCAACTGTCAACCTTTACAACTTCTGTTGCCCCTTCTTACGCGAGTCCGTAGTGATCCAAGCGGGGGGCCTGCCAATTCGCAAGCCAGCCTGGCTGCTCCAGTGATGAGGCTTTGTTGCCCCTAGAATGGCTCCGAAGGGGAACCGGCCTGGCAATCGTATCCCAGAATTTGGTCGAAGTAGTGCGATCCATCAAATAAAATTTGGTTAAGCGCATCGAGGAATAAAAGCCTGGGTGACAAGCGGTCTGTTCACGATGCGCTTGGCACTGCTCTACATCTCTTTGAATGTCTAACTTCTCGGAGACGTGACGCTTTCGTTAAGGTCTCGAACATTATAGGAGCGGACTTCGGCATTTTTGATCAGTCTGCATTCGTGCAAGGTTCTCGCCAGAGAGTCTGATGCTGGCTAGTTTCTCCTTTGACTCGTTCCGTTTTGGCAATGATGTCCCCACGTCTTTTTCAAATCCGGCCCACTTCGCCTTGCAGAGTATCCATCATCTGGAGGAGAACATCAAGGCCCTCTCCATCAAATTGTCCGAGGAGGAGTTGAAGGATCTCTCGGACGCTATCCCGGCGTCAGAGGTCAAGGGCGGGCGGTACCCGGAAGCGCACATGGCAAACACATATCAAGGGAGGCTGAAGACACGACATGCTTAAGTGCTCAAGTCTCGAGAATTACCCACCAAGTCTGATCGGTGGACTCAGCTATATCTGGTTCAGACAGATGAGCTGTAAGTTGGCGGCTTAATTTGCGAGTTGCGAAGCTGTAGACTAGGAGCGATAAAAACTTTCGCATACAATCAGGTACTTCTAATATTTATGGTTTTGATCCCTTCAGTGTATTGTTGACAAACATAGCGAAATCGTGAACGCTATGACACTTGGCAAATCGTAGTAGATGGACGGTGCACTCATGGATACGTTCTGGACCGTTCAAGTTCCTTACAAAAATTGGTGCCGGCGCCCATCCCGCAATCGGAGGCCGGCCGCCGGCCGCCCCCGGCGACCGGGCGCCCGGCCCGTCACGGTACGATCATGCCAGTGACGCGGCCCCCGGTGAGTCCGAGTCACGGTGACACATAGCGCCCGGTGCCGCGCTAGCGGGCCGGGGCCGCCGGGCCCTTAGGCTTCAAATGCGAGTCGCGGTCGCCCGGCCGCCCGGCCGCGCCTTAGGCGGAGCCGGCCGCGGTCTAGCAAGAAGTGCGATCGTTTCGGCGCCGCATTTATAGAAGGGTTTCGGAGGCCCTCGATCGGTTATTGAAGTTTAGCGGTTCACATATGCTTGAATTTTGAGGCCAATTTTGTTCATATAAAACGTGTCGACACCCCTGAAACGGGCGAAATGCATGAACAATGTGAACATAAAACCCGATGCATTGAACCTCGAAGTATGTCGTAACGAAAAGATACGTGCTCTCAATTTCCAGCCGTAAATTTTCAAATTCCCGTCTCTAAAAATGGTTGCTAAAAAGTGCTGTCTTTAATGTTGATTTTCTTTAGCTGCGAGCACTTGATGGAAGTTTGATCATGATGCATGATGCATGATGCAGATTGCATCCGCGCGCAAAAAGCGGGATCCACGACGTAAATTCGGACGCACTAAAATACGCCGTCACGTTTCAGCAAGACAAGAGAATGCGGAGAGGATGCGGAAAGGGGCCAATGAACCAATGGCGACATGAAAGCAAGGACGATGCTTTGTTGTTTTACTGCCCTAGTCTGTCGGGTTTTCTGGCGTCTACCTGAGAGAAGCGAATGAACATGGAGAAAAGCACTTGGCTCATACAGGACGTTGGCTGGGCACAGTGTCTGCTTACAATGCTTTTTGATTCTGGTTGGCAAGCTCAAATCCGAATCCCACCTCAATCTAGGATTCAAGCTCTCGGCAGGTTCCTGATCTGTCAAGCTCACAGCAGATTCTTGATCTTTCCTAATCTTTTAAGCTTTCAGCAGGTTCCTCCAGATACCACTAGCTGGCCTCACTTCCAATATCTGATACAGCAGACGTCTCTGCCTGGCGTCTTTCAGAATTATCGCTGATGTGACAAGTGGGATGCTCAACGCCGCACGACATCTCTAGCAAATCTTTCAGTCAAGGTCTCCAATCAAGGTCCTCCACTTAAGGTCTCAAGTTGACGGGCAGGCGCCATGGCGGAGATTGGGTGGGAAGGGGGTCTTACAATCGCCACGCTGGTGATCGGACTCATTGTCATGGCCGGCGACTGGGTTGGGTAAGGCGCACGTATCATCTTGTGAAAACTTTCTGTGAGGTCTTCCTTTGAGTACATGCATTCTGACCTTTGGATTACAGCGCAGACTCTCTTGCTGCGTTGGTGTGCGCCCCTGATACATATTCTGGCTCCAGACCAGCGACACAAGAAGTTTGTTTGAATGGTGATACAGTCAAGCTTGATCCGGATGAATGTGGAGGAATCACCTTCTTGATACCCAGTGGCAACTCAAAGCGGAGTTGTGATCCTCAAGAAGACCAAATCTGTGATCGCTTATGGGATGCCCCCCCCATTTGATTGCGCTTCAGCTTAATTCTTGAAATGCATCTTCATGTACCAACTTAGTATCTCAGTTGCAAAGCTTTTCCTGCTGCCCTGCTTTTCGTAAAGATCTCACTTTGCTCATCAAGCCATGCGAATGAAGGGAGCAAACTTACATGTGGCTATACTGCTCAACAACTGCCCAGCTCAGCTGTAGCATTTAGATGCCTGGCTGCGCTGCGCACCAGCTTGTCAGCTCAACATGCTGCCTATCAGGCCTATCGCAGGCTTACGAAACATCTTATCTCCCTCCGTAAGCAGTTGTTCACCACTTCGGAACTACTCCTTAATACTTTTTGGTGATGGCCAACCCATACCCGTCAATATAGCAACACCACAAGAGTGACTTGTCAAACTCTGCTCACTCATCTGCGCTCCTCTTGCAGGCCTGACTTTGTCTTTGCAGGCATGGTCGCATTTCTGACTGCGGCACGAGTCATCACTGTCAACCAGTCAACCGCCGGCTTTTCCAGCAGCGGGCTCCTGACGGTGGTGGTTCTCTACGTTGTTGCGGAGGGGATTGGTCAGACTGGAGGTAAAGCAGTGCATGCCCGCTCATGTTGACTGAGTTTTGCTGGACGCTTTCTAAAAGCTCTTTTAGGCAGGTTGAACAGATGTCAGCAGCTAAAGATCAGCTTGGTGTCATCGATTGTCAGAACCCCTTCAAATGAACAAAAGCCTTTTTTCAAAGGTTTGAGAAGAGGTACCTGAAGGTTCAAGGTCTGAGGTGTGCTGCTCCGAGGAAACGAACCGTCTGTGCGGCTCTGTAGGCGCCTGCTGTTACCTAAGCTCAACTCCTAGTCACCTCGGTCGACAAGCTGGTCCACCACTCTGTCAAATGGCAGTTCAGAATCGCAGCATATCTGTCAAGACCTTTTGCCGGCTTCAAGTTTTCAAGCAAGAATTGTCAGGTAGTTCTTGATAACCTCTGTAGGGGCGTAAGAGTCGCTTGAGTTTGTTCTTTATTGGCCATTCCCTTAGTTTGCTGAAGAATGAAGCTTTCCCGGGTACAAGGCTAGCCACCGTCGTGTATCGCTCCTCAACACTGTCTCTGTAATCCACCATAAACCCCGGTTAGGGTAATTACTGAAACGTACTCAACGTGGATGATCGAGCTGCCAAACTTCACCCCTGCTATCTCGTGAGGGCAACAAAAAGCTCCACCTTAAAAGAGGACCAAAACATCTCCACACCTTGCTTAGACTTTCCCTCTATTTCCCCCTGCAGGCATGGAGAAGGCGCTGAACATCGTGCTCGGCCGCAGCCCCTCCATCTTCTGGGCCCAGGTCCGGCTCTTCATCCCCGTCATGGTGGTGTCAGCGTTCCTTAACAACACCCCAATCGTTGCGCTGCTCATTCCGATCGTGATTGCCTGGTGCCGCCGCCAGGGGGTGTCTCCTAAGAAGCTGCTCATTCCGCTCAGCTATGCGGCTGTCTTTGGCGGAACGCTTACGCTCATCGGAACGTCGACGAACCTTGTCATTGCCGGTGAGACTCTGACTTCAACATGGACTGATATTACTCTCTCTCTCGTGATGCCACTAGCTCAAATGCTTCAGGTTGGAGGCATTTGGTTTGGAGCGAAGTTTGTTGGCATGCTCAACAAACGTTGTCATTGCGGATGAGACTGTGGCCGTCTTCTTGGACTCAAAATTGAGAAGTTGCTCTTGATGCCACTCAAGCTTTCCCGGTTGGATGCAGTTTGGTTTGAGTTGATGCGATTTCATGCTCATTAGAACTTCGACGAACCTTCTCGTAGCTCTGGCCTTCTCCTTGGACGGATATCTGCGGCCGGTCCTCTTGATGCCCCTCAAGCTTTTCACGTCTGCAGCTACTTGGGTTTGATACGGCTGAAACGCACTTGCCTGCTTGAGTCCGTCGTTTGTAGTCCTTTGAGTGGGACTGCAAAATGATGCTGAGGCTATCGCGAGGCATCTCAACCGGGGACTCAATATTATCTCCTCACTTGAAGTCGAGCGCAGCACCGGGACACATTCTGTCGCTTCCGCTCGTGGTGGCAAAGCTTCTTCGATGTTTGGCTGTGAGCTCCAGGAAGCGGTACAAACAAGCGCCTTTTCTACCTTCTGGCATCATTCGTAAATTTCTTTGCAATGCAGCGCTCCAGGAAAGACGCTACGCCAAGACCCGGCCCAATGACGCGAACTTCAACTTCTTCGAGATTACCCCGTGAGTTCTTAGTCCCTTTCTTCCTCTTTCCACTCGATCAACGGCTGATTCTGAACGTTGCCACTTGCCCTGCCTCCACTGGGATCTACTACGTTGCGCCCTTGAGGCGTCCCAAACATCAACAGACTCCCGGGGATGGCAGTGTCAGAACTCAAGAGTGGCTTGTCAATCAAACATTGCAATCTGGTGTAATGTATGGTTGCTCTCAAGCCTGTCCCGAATAGGGTTTCTCGACTGCCAGGCTTGACGCGAGGTTAGGACAGCTATATGAAGTTGGGAACTGCTTTTCGGGTCGTCTTAGCTTCCCAGTGAACCGGGACCTCTCGATCTGGTCTCCGACTAGACAAATTTTACGGAGAGACGTTTCGGTCGCTGACATAACTAACTGTCCTGCTCTGTCCGGCCTTTTCTTGCCTCAATTCTTGCGCCTCGAGCCGCCTTCTGTGCATCTTATCCAATACCCTGCCCGTGCGGATCAGGTTCATGGCATAGTACGTCATCCTCATTAGGTCCAGTTGGATCTGGTTCTTGGAGTCATACTGTGTTTGGAAAACTTTCGAGCAGAAATGTACCGGCCACTTTTCCCCACAGGTTCGGCGTAGCGTACGCAATCTTCGGCATGTGCTACACTCTGATGGCGTCGCCCTTTCTTCTCCCGGGGGAAGATACCAAGCGCCACTCTGACCTGCTATTCGTGGCCAAAATCCGCCTCGACTCCCCGGTTGCGAACAAGACCGTCCTCGAGGCGGGGCTTCGAAGCTTGGAGCGCCTCTTCCTAGTTGCTGTCGAGCGTCAGGTAGGTTTGTATCCTCCGTACCCTCTGGGCACCACGATTAGTCTGTGTTTCGAGCAAGGTAGTGCGTACAGTTGGTTGCGGCGAGCTTGGAGCGGCTCTTTTGAGTTGCGGCTCACCCGGCAGGCGAGATAGCATACGGAGACAAGCTTTGGGAATTATGCCCAGGGTTCTGGGTTTTGCTTCTGAGTTTTTGGATTGTACGCGCCTGAGGGAAGCGTTGGGCGTCCGGAGTGTCTCGTCGTAATTGTATTCGAGCGTCTGACATATGTATTTTGAAAGAGTATGGAGAGGCGTTCCAAATTTGGGTTTTTTAAGTCGTGAACCGACTCAGTAGAAAGTTTGCTTTCCAGTTTTTCTTACCACTTCAATGTCTTCTTTTGAGTTGAAGTTGCTGAAAGTCGCACTTATGGGAGGTTCATTTGAAGACGTAGACGCTACTTGATGGCCACAACCGTCATTCAGCTTTCGGATGCTCTTGCTGGTTTAAGTATGGCGCAGTGTTCTTCAACCGTGTCCCGTGTTTCCGAGGTCCCTGCAAAGAGAAGTTCCTTTTAGGAAGGAGACTAAGCGAACTCTTCCATCTGGATTTTATTACCCTCAGTGTCTTCGGTAGCCAAATCACCTTCTCGTGTCCTCCTTTGCAGCCTCATTTCTTGAGTTGTTTCAAGGAAAGGTTCTGAAATTGCAGGGCCACGTCACCCACGCCGTGGGTCCAAATATCGGCCTTGAGTCCGGTGAATTTTTGTACCTCAGCGAGCAGATCAAACAAGCACGCTCTCATAAGCTCATTTTTCTTGTGGGTGCGTTCAAAACCAGGCATTAACCGAATCCTGACCCACCGGTTGCGGGGACACGTAAGCCACGCCGTAGGTCCAGATTTCTACCTTGAGTCGGGCGACCTTTTGTTACTTCAGCGGTCAGATCAAACAACCACGCCCTCGGAAACCCACTTTATCCTTTTTGAGGCTGGTCAAGCCCGGTCAGACATTAACCCAAGCCTTACCCCCCGGTTACAGGGCCACGTCAGCCACGCTGTGGGTCCAGACTTCTACCTCGACTCTGGCGAATTTTTGTACTTCAGCGGTCAGATCAATCAGACACACTCTTGTCAATACATGGTTATTAATTTGGAAGGCATATAAATTTCGATCTTAACCGGATCTAAACCACTCTCTGCAGGGACACGTAAGCCACGCCGTGGGTCCAGATTTCTTCCTTGAGTCCGGCGACCTTTTGTACTTTAGCGGCCAGATCAAACAAGCGAAGCACTACTCGGAGGAGTTCAGTCTGGAGTTGTTGACTAACGAGACCGAAGCGGGTTCCGGTGAGAAAGGTTTTGCTATGGCGACCGATCTGAAGTCAGCGGAAGAGGGGGCGGAGCAGCCGAGCCACGCGGCACAGCTTCTGCAGGTAAGTGAGGACTGCGTTTCATCAAATACATGTTCAGTGGCGGCAACAGTATGCGGATCATACAGTTACGAACCGCCCGCTTTATACCGTGTACTAAGATACATCATTTGCTTCTTGAAATTTCGAAATCCATTCCGCATTGCTCCGAACCCCGGATCTGAGGACGATTATCAACAGTAGCCCCCGAGCCTTCTTGCTTCAAACCTTTCTAGGGAGGCTTGCTGGGAAACAGAGTACCTTGAGGATGAGCATTGGTTACTTGCTTGTAAACGGCGTTCCGAAGATTTGCACAGCACTGTCAATCAAGCAACCGAGCGAAGCGGCACGTTTCGCAGAGATTCCATGTCCTGAAGCAGACCTTCCCTACCTTCTGCAGGCCACCGTGAAAGCAGGGTCCGACATCGTCGGCAAGAGCATCCGCGAGATTGGGTTCCGCGGCCGCTTCCACGCGGCGGTGCTCTCCGTGAAACGCGGCCACGTGAAACAGCCGGGGAAGCTGGGTGACGTCATCGTCCAAGGGGGCGACGTCTTGGTTCTGCTCACTGGTGAGCGCCAACCGCAAACACAGCCGTTGGTTTCGATGTTGCACTCTCGGAAGAGAGTCTTTGAGCATGCTGGAATGTCTAGCTGTTTGTACTCAAGTCCGATCGGCGAAAACCGCTTTCGTCCCGCTAGAGACACCACTCGCAGGATGACCGAAGTCGGGTTCCCTTGTCTATTGCTGTTTTGGATCTGCCGAAGGATTCTTTTTTCTGCACGCTGGCAGTCAATCTGTAAAACTGATGAGTATCGGACAGTCATTTAATTATTTCGACTAAGTAGTGTTCTCCGTCATCTGATTGCAGAGAATAAGACGGTGGCAGACGACAAGGAGTTCAAGCGCATATTCAAGGAGGTCGAGCCACTGGACCTGACCCTCGAAAAGGAGTTCCTCTCTGGTAAGTGATGAGATAATTTTGTGGAGAAGTATCCAGAGACTTCCGTTGGGTCCACGTGAGGGCGTGCTTGCTCTAGGAGTGGTAGTAACGTAGCCTTGGTCCACTATTGGTGATGTCCAGATTCTCTACACAACCAGGTCGAGTCTCAAAACGTTCCCTGCAGACCGGTCGGGTCGATGGGTTGCCGGCAGAAGAGCTTGAATCTGGCCTAGCCTAGAAATTCAATCTGAGCTTCTAGACCTTGTTTTAAGTTTGCCGCTACGAGCTAGGCTCAGGGCGATACATCGATGTTGAAGGGTCAGGCAGAGTCCCAGGACACATAAGCGAACGTTAAATTTGGATGGTTCTCGTGCAGGTATGAGGGTGACGAGCAAGTTTTCCGGCATCGGCAAGACGATCACGGAAGCGGGCCTACGAGGAATCGAGGGCCTTTACTTGGTCGGCATCGACCGCGCAACCGGCGAGTCTCTGAGGGTGGTGCAACCAGACACAATCATCCAGGTAAATCTAATTCCCCCTTTTGTCTTGACCCGATCTTACGACTCTCCGTATTGTGTCAATAAAAGAGGATTGCTTGCTTGGCAGGACGGCGTTTTGAGTTCAGGCTATTGGACGTCTTCAAGGCCTGTGGTTATTCTACCACGACGTATAAGCAAGCGACGCGTGGGCAGCCACGGAGGTGGTTCCAAGCCGAAGGCCTCGAAATTCCTCTGAAACCCACCTTGCAGAATCATCGGGAAAACGGCAGTGTGGTTCGGCGGGGTTTCAACCCTACCAGGACGAGGTTAAACCAAGCTGTGACACATACTCCGATTGGAAAAACAGTGACCTTGACGTTGACCGTGCTAAACCCCTCACTTCATAACCCGAGACGTGCGGAGTACTTGACGTCGACCCCTCTCCGTGCCCGGATGGAAACCCGCTGGGTCTGAGAAAGCATATGAAAAGCAAACTCGAGCTTTACCCGGTTCTTTTAACTTTCCTAACGCAGTACATCCTCAGGTAAGCGATTGCAAGCGACAGTCGCTGACGTCAGCAGATTCTGAAGCCGGCAAGTTTTACGTCGCAGGACGGAGACCTTCTGTGGTTCTCAGGAAGCATCGAGAACGTGTACTTCGTGCTTAAGATCACCGGTCTCGAGCATCACCAAGCTTCTCAGATTGGCCAGCTCAAGGTCGGGATCCTGAACCGCCAACTCGTCCAGGTAAGCCGATGACGTCAGCCGCGCTTCTCGGTGACGTCAGCATACCCGGATGGCTTGTCCGCCTTTCTTTGCTGCGCGCCGGTTGATCCAAGTGAGATCGCGAGCCGCAATTCTTGACTGAGTCATGCTACACGGAATTTGCTCAGCATAAATGTGCGGATCTGACCGTCAGGCCTTAAGCAGCCACGCGTGTCGCCCGTCTGGAATTTGTGAGTGCTCTTGGATTTCCGGAAATCTTAAGAGAGACCAGAAGGATTGCACTGAGCAACTTTCCTTATGTGCAGGTTTCCGTGGCATATGACAGCCCTATCTCCGGGCAAACCGTTCGGCAGGCCGCGTTCCGGACCAAATACGACGCCGTCGTTCTGGCAATCCATCGCCAGGTAAAGTATTCTCGCTCGACAATTTCCAGCTGCTTGGAATGGTGTACGTTGTGGAAATGTATTTCGATTTCGAGCTGACACTACCCTGCCACATCCTTTGATGTGGCAAGTTTGAGACGACGTCTGCGGGAAAAGGTATGTCTGCCGACCGCTGTGTCGTTTCTTGCAAGTTACACCGTGAGTCGGGGTCATTCGGCTCGACATCGGAACGAGCTTTTCGCAGTGCAGCACTTCAGGCTAATTGCGCGATTTGGTCACCAAAATTTGCCAACACGTTCTGAAAGGTGTGTCTTTTTAGAAGCCTTCCTCCAGAATCACTGGTAATCCGCAGACTTCTGCTTCCGCAAGGCAACGTACTTCCGCTTAACACCAACACAAGCTCTCCCCCAGGTTTCACTGCATTTCGAAGTTACAGAAACCAAGGAAGCCGTTGCGGCTTCACCTTTGAACACGGATATTGATATTATTTTCTTTTCTTCCCAGGGTCAGCGCCTTGCCGCCGACGTGCGAGACATTCCGCTCCAGCCGGGCGACGTTCTTCTGCTGGACACCGGAACGAGCTTCCCCAAGCGCTTCAAGGATGATCGTGCGTTCTCGATCATCAAGGGCGTCTCGGACACGTCACCGCTTAAGTCGAACAAGATGTGGATCGCTATCGGCTTGGCCACCGCTATGATCTCCACACAGGTAAGCACTTTCAAATGTCGAGCGGTGCATATTGCAGCAAAGTCTAATCCGGACATAGACCCGGTTCTTGAGCCTCCCTCTCAGTCATTGCCCGGTCAAGTTCTGGAAACGTGGAGCGCGGTTGGCCGGGGCACTGATATGAAGGCCACAACAATTACCGGCTCTCATCTTCAGGCGGTCGGATTGTGGGACTTGGACGGCTTTGCGAATCTGAGGTTTTCGGTTTCATGCGTCGCGAGGTGTACTTGGCTGGCTTGTGAAAGCGCACGGAGCAGCGGAGGCAGTCAAAACTTTCGTCATCACCTAAAATATTCCATATTCAGATTTAATGCTCCGTTCTCGCTGCCAGGGTGTCGTCACGTTCTGTCTTTCGTTCGCTCCGTTCTTTCAGATTACCAGCGGATGCGCTCACATACCGTCCCGGTGTACATGACTTTGATCACCACGGGGTTTTTTGGGGCAAGCTGAGCTGCTGCTTCCGGTTCCGTTGCTGATCGCTCGTCCGTCCGTTCCGTTCAAGAGTGCGAACGGAGCGGCCAGACTCCGGTTTGGAATAAACGAAAGTTTTTATGGGAGAATCATCACTGTGAAGCTTTTGCTCCTGAGCGGGCTGCTTCCGGTTCCGTTGCTTAATCCAGCCCCTCGTTCCGTTCAGATTGCGAGCGGAGCAGAAGACGCCGGTCCGGAGTGCAGCAATTTGTCTGCCGAGGGGCTCATAACTTCCGGGCTATTGCTTTTAAGTGGCTGCTCAGTCTGCTAACATTCCAAACCCTGTTCCGTTCCGTTCAGATCGCGAGCGGAGCCGCAGACGCCGTCCCGGAATACATCACCATATGTTCACCGCGGGGTTCATTACCGCGAAGCTTATGCTCCCATGAGCGACTGCTTCCAGTACCGTTTCTGACTTTCCGTCCGCTTGTTCCGTTAAGATTGCGAGCGGAGCCGCAGACGCCGTCCCGGAATACATCAACCTGTTTACACCGGAATCATCACGGCGGGGCTTATGCTCTTAAGCGGCTGCTTCAACGGGAAGCAGGCACGTGACAGCATCGACTGGCGCGTATACGTGACCATCGCGTTTGCGTTTGCGTTCTCGACGGCTATGGAAACGTCGGGCGTCGCGCAGGCCATCGCTGACGTCTTCACCGACATCAGTGAGTCGATTCGGCTCTCCTTGCCGATGCAAGTATGGCCTGAATTGGGGGGACCTGCCAAAGGTCGCCCGTGCCTATCCGTAGTCTGTGCTGTGTCAATAGGCTATCTGCGCTCGGTGACAGATCAGACTGCTCAATCTGTACTCCTCAGTTCCAATCGTTGCGATGTATATTTTCGATGTTTTCTGCGTTTGGTCAACGTCCAGTACAATCTGCTTCGATCAACGTGTCCCGATCGCTTGCTTTTGCGCTCCGCAAAGTGATTGTTCGTGGCCAATTGTTCACTTCAATTTCAATTCGCCCTCCTGTGGACGACTTCTTCCAAAGTGAATAAAGAAAGCTTGACATGCGGGCGGGAGAAAGGCGTTCGCTTTCTTTGAGTCCGACATTTTCTCCCAAAATTTCAGCCGGCTTCATGGAGAAATCCTTTTCAACGAGCCTAGAGATTGTAACACTTCTCACATCCTTGTCACAGGCGACGCCATCGGCGGAAAGGCGGCCGCGTTCGTGGCGATTTACATTACGACCGCGTTCCTATCCGAGATCGTGAGCAACAACGCGGCCGGCGCGCTTATGTACCCCATAGCCGCTCGGCTCGGGGACGCGCTCGGGGTCGTGCCATCGCGTATGACGATTGTGGTCATGCTGGGGGCGTCGGCTGGGTTTACGCTTCCGTACAGCTACCAGACCAACCTGATGGTGTTTGCCGGTAAGCGCTTTCTATCCAGAAGATATTCAACCTCTGTTTCCGGCCAGGGTCTTATGATCACATTATCAAGATCTTTTGAAATAACAGCATCCCTACACACGCACAAGCGTAGGTTTGTTATCGTTGGGATCTGATCCTTCTCGTCAATTGACGGAGCGATCTGATAACTTCGCGTGCTCATAAGAGCAGTGGATGGGCTCTACCGATTTGGGCCGCAAGTTCACTACTCTGCACTTCGTTTTGAAATTGGGCTAGCCTTTGCTTGGCAATCTGTAGCGGAGCTGATTTACCTGCATATTGTATCCTGACTTCTGTTGCCAGTTCTTACAAAGTCTAATGTTGCTGCAAGAGCTTTTTTGTCCTTTTCAATGAGGTACCGTAGCGAGTGTCGTCCCTTTGATTTTGCTGTCTCGAGAAACGTCGAACCACTCGGCCAGCCGAGACAATGTGATGCATTCTTTCCAATCTAGCATAAGCGCTTTCCCCAACTTCGGCAGACGATCGCCGCTCCCGGCCAGCTCTTCAAAGCGTTTCTGTGCTCACCATTTGCATCTTACCCTAGTCTCTCTTTTTACAGCCGGCGACTACCGCTTCCTTGAGTTTGCCAAGTTCGGCCTCCCGTGCCAGCTGTTCATGATCGTTTCGGTGATCATCATCTTCGCGCTAGAGGATACGATCTGGGCGTCGATTTCCATCGCCGTTGCGCTTTTCGCGGCGATCCTTGCGGGCCCTTTGCTCTGGGTTGTTCTCCCCGAGTCTACGAAGGATCGGCTCCGTTTCTGGGGGCCCAAAGTGAAGGCACAATATGTAAGGGCTCCCGAATTGACGAACGGGAAGATTGTCGATTAGGGCCGTCGATTAAAGCAGCGGGAACGAGAAACTGGAAGGGTTGCGTTGAGATGTAGGGTTGCGACATTCCAGAGTTCTAACGTTTATTATTGTACGTACTATTTTACTAGGATGAAGTACGTACTATTTACTTGGATGAACTTACACTAGTGCATGATCGGTCGACTCGAAAGTTGCTGATATAACAGAGGGAGAATATGAAAGAATGGACACGAGTCGTAGAAGGCCCTCAACAATGTCCGGCACCCCAAGTTTATCAAGGAGGGTCGCATGTCGAAAGAAGTAGCACTTGTTATCAACTTATTCGTTTGACTTTCCGACTTGAGAAGCAAATGACGCTTCAGCAGAGCTCGGCGATGAACTTCGGAGTCTTTGAAGCGCAAAGGTAAATTCCAAGCGCTAGAGATGTCCAACTTCGATTTGGCGTGAGTTCGAGAAAGTGGGAAGGCAATCTTGCCTAAGCTCGTCAGAGTAATGCGCCATATTTACTTTATTCATGCAACGTCATCAACATGATGCCGATGACGTTGCATGAATAAAGTAAATTGGCAGTATCGATCGTTTTATTTTTGGTCCTTCAATGCTTGCGATCGGGCCTGTTACTGATGGAAGCCCGGCTAGGAGTTTTCCATGTGATATGCTGACACTCGTTCAATATATTATTGTTGTGGCTCCGGCGAATCCCAAGTGCCTGGTCGCAATATCCTGCCAGCCAATAATTGCATGCGGAAATCTGGCACAGGCTGCAGTGCATGCATGATGTGCCTTTCAGTGCATGATGTGCGGCGTTAAGTTCACTCGCGTACTGAAACGGACCGTCAATGAATGATGTGCGAACAATGACGTACGGACACTCGTTCAACTGGGACCGTTTTATACTGAGTCACCGTCTGGTGGTGCAGGCGATGCCATGATGAAGTCACGTGCCACCGCCGGCACTAGTCTCATGTGCACTAAACTCCGGACGCCAAAATTGGCTTTCACGGGGCAAGGTTGAAGGCCCGCAAGAAACAAAAAGCGACCTCCATGGGGGGTCTCTCTTCACAGGCTCAAGCCTCATTCACAATCTCAGTCACGGTCAGTGACAGTCACAGCCTCACAGGTACCAGATACTGAATCACAGTCATGTATGCATGCAGCTACAAATCTGGTTGACACTGTTAGGTGGGCAACGGTTTGACGGCTGGCTACCCGGACGGCAATTTGGCAATGACGAGTGCCCGGCCCGGAGGACCGCTGTTAGCTGGTGTGGTACCGACCGGCCAGCTTCAAAGTATGGTCGCGGCATGGGAGGGTTTTCATATATTGTTCACACATGAAGATTGCTAGAGACACTGATAAAACAGTGTAGCTAGATTTGTGATCCAACTAGATTGTCGATCCAACAAGTGACTAGTCTGAGGGAACGGTCAACCGGTCACCAGACTCCGGACTCCGGAGCTGCTGGACTCGAGCGGACAGTTCGCTCAGCTGACACACGTCAAACCTGGCAATGTCGGGCCACTCTACAGTGTGCACATGTTGACGCCATGTTGCGAAACGATTTACCTAGCTCCTCTGACAATTCGACTGGAAGCAAAGATCAATAGTAATAGAGAGTAAGGGAGTGTAAATGAGGGAATTTGTGACCATCGCAACAAAGCTCTGAATCGTAAATTAAAATACCGAGGGTATTCACATTTTCTGACACGCAAAACACATCTATCCTCGGGATTAAATCCTCCGGCAGAAGTGTTAAAGTGCAGTGCCGTGCACAGCACGGCACTGACGCGCAAGAGGCACAAAGTTGACGAATAAAATTTGGGAGAATCGGACATGGACGCCTAAGTTTCTCGGACGGCGGCCGGTAAAGTGCTCGGCTAACACCAAACCGCACGAAAACCCTCACAGGTCAGTGGCCGAGCTTAGCCGTACAAGGAACCCTTAATCGGAGATCAGTCACAGGGAAGGGACGCGACCCTTAAACAAACCGTCACAAGTAGTGGCGTAACCCTAACATACCATCAAATCCCTACCTTTGGCATCGGATCACAGGTGGGAGGGCGCCATGCAAGAGCTTGGAGCGATGGAGCGCCTATTTTCTTGGTGGACGTTCAAGAGCCGTGTAAATAAGGTTAAGAGACTGGTTTATATAACTTCTGTTACTTAACTAGCTGATTAACACGTGGCACCGATAGGCTTTTGAACTGTTGTAATGCATTAATGCATCGGTACATACTCTTAGGGTTCTGTGGCGCCATGAGGTACGTACCTCCGAATATGTGTACCTGTCAGAAAATGCATGTCAACACCATTTTATGTCGACCCTTAGTGAAACGCTATGTTGCGAACGTGATGATGTGCTCTCTGAATACTCCCGCCCCCTGCGGAAGTCCCACCAGGGTTGCACGCGTATAAGATTGCGACACGTGGCATGCAGACACTTGCTGCTGCAGAAACAGGTGTGCGCGCTAAGCCGCGGCGCGGTACAAGTTCGACTTGCAGAATGCGGAGTCTCCGTCCTTCAGGGTTTAGCACCGGGAGTCGTTGGTAACTACGTGCGACTCCGGACTCAGAGCCGCACGATGTCACGCTGTAGAGGCTCGTTGCCGTGGCTCATCACAGCTGCGCGCGCGCGCGAGTTGTGAGCCGTTGATATTAGGGCTCGACCCGATCAGACGGCCCTGTAGGTTGCTGCTGTTTGTAGTCTACTGTGTGTAGACTCGAATGCTGAGTGACTGCGGCCAGCCCTGTAAGCTGGACCCCAAAGTTGCTGATGCAACTTTCTGTGTAACGGCACGACTGCGCACCGACTTCTGGCTGCGCGCCAAACTCGCGGCCGCGCATCGTCCGTTATTATACGCTATCGACTTATTTGATATATCGAATCACTACACGACACGTGTCTGGGTTACTGCTCCACCGCGTGACCGTCCGA